CTGTAAAAATGACGACGGTAGATAGTTAATGCCAAGCATTTCTGATTAAGATCAATATGAATGCACCATCGGACTGCTGCTCTTTACTTATAAAACTGAAGTAATATCAGTGAGTTTCATCACTAAGGTGAAGATGGCTGAGAATTCCAGTCGACACTTGTTCCCATCAGAACAGGAATTTGCCATGTGTAAATAGTTAAAGTAAAAGTTTGCCTAGGTTTTTCATGTTATATCCTTCCATGACGACAAATTTCTTGGCATTATTAATTCATATTCAACATTTATATTATAGGATATGCGACTGAACGCCAGTAAATGATTTTCGCACGGCCACCGATTGTCGTTCATGTTAGACGAATTACCAAGGCTGTTAATGGTCTCTGCATGATTATCGCTTCCTTGTGTTCAGATGAAAGACATTTACCAATAATGGCAGACAAAGATGAGCAAGTGTGATGACCATGTCAACAGTCCTTTCAAGTAATAACCAAATCTATCGCACCTCCAACGTACAGTGCAAACGCTAAAATGACTTGAATCTAGTGAGCGTCAAAAAGTCCATGCACGTCAGGCTTAAAAACGACCATACAGAATTGTAAGAAGATCATAACATCTGCTAAGTACAATACTGTATTAACTCACTTACCCTTCTTCTTCTTGAGGTTGATGAGTACCACTCTATGGGAAAGAAACAGGAGACTACACCTTACGCTTGTCACAGAGATCTAGACTTTGTCTTTAAAAAATATAAGGTACTCCTGGCTGCTGACACAGAAACGGAGATCAGCACCGCATCATCAACTTTATGAACAGAAGGGAACAAAAATGGCCTAATTTTGAAAGTGAAGGAAGATCGACATTCCAATCCAAACATTATGTATGTTTAGCATATTTATTCACTTCGACAAAAAACTGAAGTGTCGTTAACAGAAGCACTTGCAGTCAGTAGATAATGATTTGGCAGATTTACCCATCGCACTAACCTTTACAGCATAAATGTGTGTAATGAGTTGGCGAGTATTCATTGTCAAGCAGTGGTAATCGGGGTGTGAAGCAGCGTCAAGCAGGGTGTGTCAAGTGTCCGGGGGTGTCAAGCGGGGTGTGAATTCAGTGTCAAGCAGGATATGAATTTTCTATCGCACTCAGCAGTCACTAAGCGTAGTTGGTAAGGGCTCTTATGAGTGAAATCGATCTTAACTGGAATATAATACCATCACACTATTTCAAATTCTGAGAAGAAAAACATTCGCCAACCTATAAAGCTTTCAAGAACAGAGTCATGATTATACTAAGAGGTCAAGTTTAAGGAGATTTAAAACTGAACTCCTCGCGAATTCCCCATCTGGAAACATCTCGAGCAATGATGAGATACTCTAAAAGAACATCTGCCTGTTACCTGGACATAATGCGGAAAAGCACGAATCATGAAATACTAGAATTTTGCTCAAAAGCGAACAGCCATTGTAATGCTACTAACCTGAAGCCCAGAATGGTAGAATTCTTTGACAATGCCCCCGGATCAGAGAGAAGAGTAACTACGCTGATGTTTTGAAACTTAACAAAAAATTATGATTTTACGAACGCATTTCCATAAGCACAGGTAAAACTGACGTCCAATAACGTTAATGCAGTTAATGTTGTCTTTCCATGGAAGTATTAACCGCGTTAATCAGGCTATCAATGCACTAAAAATAAGTTAAGACCTTCGCTGAAACTCTGCAGTAGATTTTTACAGCTTCTATCAAATCATCATTCGAATGGTTTTGGATCTCCATTTTTATATAAAATATATTCTGTACATGTTCTATAGTAGATTTTATCGCATACTTTTTGCAACTTTTACAAAATCTCCAGAAAGCTCACCTCGTTTGTCTTCGACGCATCAACATTGATACCAAGCGCAGACAGCACAGACCCGTCACCGTTGCACGAACAGTTTAGCAGGTCGTGAGTGACGGAGTTCGTCTGATCGTCGAAGGTGCACAGATCACGTATTTCTTCCTCAGAGAACTTTACCGCTGCAAGAAATATATAGAATTCAAACTTCTTCACAGAATTTTTAAGCGCGTGAAACAATATACAATTTTACCTTCTGACATCTGAACACTGAAGTTAAAAAGTCGGCAAGGACCACAGAATATACGGTAATAATACGGTAAGAAAGTCTACTCCCTTGAACAACGCGGTTTCTCTCAACTGGTGTAGTGATATATCATCATTCTCAGAATATACGGTTACCACAATACT